TCTTCTGCCACCATGGTTTTCTCGTCTGGGTAGAGGAAGATTTTGATTCGGACAAGCTTGGAGGGGCAGTTCTTGGGTTCTCCAGTCCATATCTTCTCTTTCTCGATGAGAAAAGAATCCCTTGTTCCCATCAAAAGATAGAAACGCCGGAAGAAAACGTTGCAATCTAACCTCTTCTACACGCGTGGTTGTCAGCAACTAGACAGCTCGTCTACGTGCGTCTACGCTCGTCTCCCGTTCCTGTCTTCTGGAGAGCCCGACTCCAGTAATAGCGGCTCCTTGGACTGTCCAACGGTCGGCCCCTTATTACCAGCGGTTTTTCGATGCCACCTGAGAGAAGCTGCTCCACTTACTCAGTTCTCTTCCTTTCCTTCCGCCACTACGCCGACTGCGCCATGTTGTATCTTCTGATTGAGTTTGGTCTAACTTTGAACTGCGTTAGCTCAGAAGCCGGTGGTGCGACTGGTTAGCAGTGTGTCTGAGGCGGAGAAGTAAGAAGACAGCTGGGTAGCAAGACTTAACTGATTTATTGTGCTGAAGCAGGGGTATATATAAACTTTGACAATGATCAATATACAACAAGGAGAACCAGAGAACGATCCAGTATGGGAGTTCTACTTAACCTTACGTGATATTGTTGCGATATTGTTTGCCCCAGAATTTGTACCTGGCACTGAGGAAATGTTGCACGTTTTAATTCAAGAGCACCACACCATGTATCAAGAATTGTTCCGCGCCCACTTTCAGCCAAAGTTTCACTATTGGTTGCATTATTCGCACCTTATGACTGTTGTCGGGCCATTGCTTCCCATCTCTACTATGAGATGGGAAGGAAAGCACAGGGAAATGAAGCAAGTAGCTCGGGCCACAAGTTCACGAATTAATCTCCGCAAAACAGTTCTCCTAAAGTGTATGTTAAAGTTAGCTTATCGCTTTTTGTCCGGAGATGGACTTCGGGTGGAGTTTCAAGTCGGAAAGACTGTCCCTGTACGCCGTCAAATAATTGATCCCGAGGGAATCCTAGAGCACTATATTTTAAATGCAAATGCTAAGATTTTTATCACATCAGAGTGGCTAACAGTTTGTGGAGTGTACTTTAGAGTTGGGATGGTAGTCCATACATCCTACGACAACAAGTATCCTTGTTTTGCTGTCATTGACAAAATCGTCTAGGAGGGTGTTGAAGCAGATGGCTCCTTCAAGCCCAAATTTTTCTTTGTTTGCAAGGCATTGATCACTAATTGTTTCAACCGTCATATGTATGTGGACGACGTGTCAGATTCCTGTGTACCGTACCTTGCCATACGACACGAAGAAATTTTATCACCTCATCCTCTTGTCATAAGATTGAACCGGAATGGTCGTAAATATGTATCAACACTCTAGGTGGTAGCTAGGCCGTCTAGGAACACCTCGAGAAAATATGGGATTTTGTTCCAGCAAGGATAAAAATGTCCTGCCCTCCAAAGTCGGCCCCGTGCGTAAGTGGCCAAGACTTTCCGAAAAAGTGTCCCGCCATCTTCTGATATGTTGTTCCCCAGGTGCAATTACACAATTCTGGATGGTTGATTTTGGTCCATTTTTCGGTCGTGCCTCGGGTACCGCGCTCTGAGCCGTTTTTAGAGGGCTGCAGCTTCGTAACCTTGGTGGAACGAAATCCGGCGACCCCGCTAGGTGATAGCTAGGCCGTCTAGGAACACCTCGAGAACATATGGGATTTTGTTTCAGCAAGGATAAAAATGTCCCGCCCTTCAATGTCGGCCCCGGGCGTAAGTGGCCAAGACTTTCCGAAAAAGTGTCCCGCCATCTTTTGATATGTTGTTCCCCAGGTGCAGTTACACAATTCTGGATGGTTGATTTTGGTCCATTTTTCGGTCGTGCCTCGGGTACCGCGCTCTGAGCCGTAGTAGTATGAGAGAAGGGAGATCTGGCCGGTAGGTCAAGGTCATGATGAGTCATTAACCCCGGAAGCGGCAGGCGTGTCCAGAAGTAGGTCAATG